GCCCCGGCTCCCTGACTGCTCGCTGGAGGACCCACTTCTTGCCTTGGAATAACCACTGTCCAAATACCAAGCTCTCCACCTTCCCCAGGTGGCCAACAGCTTCCGGGCAGCCTTTCCCTCCTGACCTTGACCTGCCCTGAGGCCCCCGTGGCTCCCAGCCACCTCCCTTCCACGGTTCGCCCCAGGAGAAAGCATGCTGGCTGTCACCCAAGCCTGACGCTGGTGTTGGGGCTAGAATCAGCACGTGGCAAGCTCCCGGTGGCCCCTGTTGGGGCGCACCTGTCCCCGGACAGCTGTGACCACCTCCCGCCTCGATACACACCCGCCTTCCGGTGCATGCTCGACCGCCCACGCCTTTCTTTGTGATGCTGTAGCCAAAAATAAAGTAGGAATGTCCAGGAAAACTGCTGTCCTCAATTGTCCTTTGTGGCATCTACCAGTTCTGCCTTCCCACGAAGGCCGGGACTACGTGCACACGCAGTGTGGAAGGCGGGGTGCCTGGGTCCCGGGGTGCAGCAGGCAGATATGGTCCTGCCCAGGTGGGGTCATCCTGGGCACGAGCAGGTGGGCTCAAGGTATCCTGGCCGACCCCCACCTTTCTCAGGTGCCTGCCCAACATCGAGGCATGTCCTCACCCTCTCCCTCCGGCCTCGACCCCAGGAAAGCAAGTCACTTCCCAGAAGGGGGTGCCCATTCCCCACCCCAGAAACATAGCTCCCAGGCCAAGTTCAAGATCACTTCCTTTTCTGATATGCTGGAGAGCACCTTGGAATCACCTGGAAGATTTATTTTCAAAGCACCCTTGCCCTCCCTGCACCCAGATCCCACTAAACCCCAAAGCAGGGGTGTAGGATTGTATTTTCGGGCTCATGTCTGTGACTCCCACTTCCCTGATGATTCTGAAAACAGCTCCCTTCAAAGTTGATCCATTTCTCCTGCAGTTCAGCTAGCTGCCACCAGAGGGAGAAAGGTGCCCGCGGGTGGGCCCCCCAGGGACCCTTCCCTTGCTGGTGGCAGCAGAAGTCAATAATCAATAGGGCTGCTTTCCTGACTCCTTCCCAACACGGCCTCCCAGCAGCCACCGCCAGTCAGTCACAGGGGTAGTTGTAAAAAAAAAATAATTCCCATCCCGAAAACAGCTTCTCTCCTTTCCCAACAGGCCAAGGCGAATACGCATGGGGAGAGTTTGCCTGGTAGACAGAAAGCACCCAGGACACACCCACCTTTTAATTCATCCAGGCCAGCATTCAAATCCCGCTGGTCACAGTCTAGCTGTGCACCTGTGGCCCGGTCACTTTACCTCTCTGAGTCTCAATTTTCTCATCTGGAATATGGGCTCATGAGTAGAACCTTCAGAGAGTTACTGAGGGACATCCGTGGAGTCGTCTGTGAAGAGTCCCTGCCACAAGTGGGGGATTGACAAAGCCATTCAGTCAGTCAGCCAGTGCCTGAGCTGGGGCTCCGCGCCCTCACAGAGCTCGTGTGGGGAAAGGCGCCGGGGCTGGCTTTGGTGGTGCACTGACATGGGGGGAGGAGAGAGGCGGAGAGCAGATCCCCAGGTCTCTGCCCAGCTGGGAGCAGAAGCTGCAGAGGTGGTGTCTGTTCTGGGCAGGAGCCAGAGGCCAGGACAAGCAGCTGAGATCTGGAGGTCCAGGTCTCCCCTGGGGGTTCAAAGGTGAAGCCGAGGAAAGGCGCCCCGGGGCTTGTGGATCTTGGTGAAGGCAGCGCAGCCCCTGCCCCGGCTGGGCGATGGCCACGGGGATTGAACACTCCGGTCCTGCGACCCTCCAAGGTGCCCCCCTCAGCCCAACCCCACGTGCACTGGGTGAGAGGATCCTAGGAGCGCCATGGAAACAGGAAGTCACCCAAGAGGTGCAATTTGCTTGGGCTGGGTCCACGTTTGCTGCATGACCTCCAGCAAATCACTCACCTCTTGTCCTTCTCTTTCGTGGGTGGGACCTCAGAGGGTCAGGATTCCCTAGCACGATGGGCCTCAGTCATGCAACCAAAAACCAAGACTGTCCCGCCCAGAGGACAGGCCCCTGGCCACAGCTATTGCCAAAGCTTTCTCAAGTGACACAAGAAACAATCATCAGGGTTTCCTGTTTCTGTTTCTTTAAAGGAAGTGATCACAGGGCCACCAGCAAAGGACAACGAGGGCACCCCTGGGCATCCTTGAATTTCTCTAGTTATTTCCTCAATAGTTCACCACTTTCCCATCTGGCTGCAGCCGGCTCTATGCGGTGGGGGGCAGGGCAGGGGATCTTCCGCTCTTGGCTGTCTTGCTCCCCTGAAACCCACAGCTCCAGAGCAGGGCCTACAGGGGGGGGGCAGGGCAGGGGGGGGCACTCTTCTGACATCTTCCAAAGAATTGAGAGTTGGGCTTCTAAGGACAGTTTCCTTGGACGCTCAAGTTGGATCTGCTTCTAGATAATTGGCGAAAAGTCTGCATTTTATTAGAAGCTACAGTTGCCATGATCAATGCACCCCGAAACCGGCAAGCAAGGCGAGCTTCGCACACAGGCCCGACCCCTCCGTGGGTCCAGGTAACTGTCCAGCTGGTTAAGCAGGGTGGCTGAGAACATGGCCACTTGGCATCTACAGAACACTCCAGCCAAAAACTGAGCCGTACATTCTTGGGCCGGGGCTGGGGCTCAGTGGCAGAGCACTCGCCTAGGACGTGGGAGGCCCTGGGTTCGATCCTCAGCACTGCATAAAATTAAAAAAATAAAATAAACGTATTGTGTCCGACTACAACTAAAAATAAATAAATTAATTAATTAAAATGAAAAGACCACATCCTTCTTAAGCCCACGTAGAACATTTACCAAGGTAGACCACAAAGACTGCATTCTGGGCCAGAAACAACCCTTAACGAAGTTGAAAGAAAATTTCTTTTTACTGCAGTGAAAGGGAAGGAGAACTGAATAAAAGAAAGAGAGCCAGAAAACTCCAAAATTCAATAGCACATTTCTAAATGATACATGCGGCCAAGAAGTCTCAAGAGAGGTTTAAGAATATTTTGAAGAAAACGAAAATGGCGGGGAAAAAAAAATACCAAAATACATGAAAGTACAACTTAGTGGGAAATTTCAACCTAGCATTGAATGCATGGATTGGTAAAAAGAAAAAAATAAATAAATGGAGCAGGGCGGAGTGCTAGGGCAGGAGAAGTGTCCTGTACAGTTCCATAACAGAGGACCTTGACCTTGTCCATTTGCAAATTGCCCTCCACCAGCAGGTAGCCTTATCCCGAGGAATGAAATGGACCAATTTTTATCATACGCACATACAAATAAACACCTATGAAACCTACTGTTATGTGCGATTTTAATATGCCAATAAAACAGTGTCTGATTTTATTTCTTAATCTGTGATGAAAATGCAGAGGAATATTTAAAAAAACAAACAAACAGAAAAGAGTGTGAGAAACTGATGTGACTCCATTTTTTAAAATAAATAAATAACAGCAGCTTCTACCTCCAGGCCTGTCCTAAGGAAGGGAGCGTGACCCTTGTCCTTGGAACCACAGAGCACTCCTAGGCACATCCCCACCCTGCTGAGTGGTTTGTTGGTAAATAACAGGAGAGGTCTGTGGCGCCAGGTGTCCCTGACTCAGTAGGGCTAGGTGGGGACCCATAGCAACCCCCTAGCAACCTCCAATCAGCATGAGACAGGGAGAGTACCTGGGATGCAGATGACCCCCCAGTAGTTTATGGGGGTTGATAACATGTTGGGAAACCGTGTAGTTCGACACGTACACCCCTCGTGGCCTAAACCA